ACACCCTAACACCCTAACACCCTAACACCCTAACACCCTAACACCCTAACACCCTAACACCCTAACACCCTAACACCCGATATAAATCGTAGGAATTTAAGAAATATTGGATATTTCTATAAAAGGAGCCGCATCTAGATAATCATCACTCAAGATGATAATCTTAATACCAAATAAGAAACGAGCAGAAGCGTGCCAAAATTTTATTTTAATACATGTTGAATTTAGGTAATCTTACTTGCAATATTTTTCAATTATTTCAAGAATTCAATTACTTTATGTAAATTATCTATTCCCTTTTCGGCCTGTGTTTTCTTTGAATTTGCGAACCTAGAGTAAACGTAAATTTGGTGTGATCTTAACTTGCATAAAAAACAATGTTCCTGACGTTCAGAAAGATGCACGGCGTCTTCTTTCTGATTTTCGAGATTACAAGCGTCAATATGCAACAATGTTTGAAAATTATTTCTCATATATATTTTGGCTAAGCGCCCAAAGTTTATCTCATTACCGTTTATGCCCAATAATAATGCAATATAACTGGTTGAATAATTGAGAGTAAGGTCGTGTTGCTTAGAAAATTCACACAATTTTCAAATGGATTGATATGCCAAATGATCCAAGATTCTAGATTAAAGATATAATACGATAAATCTTTTATCAAATAAATATATGGCATATATAATACAATTACCCCAAGCTAATGAAAGTAAGATGAGTTAGAGAATGTTTATTACGAGAAAGGATATATTTTCACCAGCATTCTTGCTAATATTTAAAAATAGAGTATAATATCAATACTGTACCACGATCCTTCGTGAAGGAAAACAATGGAAGCCACTGTGCTACTCAATCGTTCACCCTGAATTTACTAAGTTTCTTTCAAATTAAAACTATCTGAGCAGCACTTATTATAGCTACAGCATTATGGTTTTAGGTTATGGCGTTTTAGCCCTCACATCGACTCCATATGCAGGAGTGAAATGCTTCTGATATTATTATTTGGAGCCATCATATTATTTAGTGTCGTACCACCCTCATTTTTCCTTTTGGTACCGAAAAACGTTTCCAAATATAATATGATTTTTACATAGATTTTGAAGTGTTGAAGTGATTTAGCTTTTGCCTGGTGTTTTGCAGAGACAACTAAGAATAATTTGATTCTGAAAATGAAAAAGATCATCACTATACGTCGCAGATCGCCTGATTTTACGCTCCAATTATTGCTGACATAATTTCTCAAATTTTTTCTAGTTTTTACAGTTAAGCCGAGGAAATCATTCTACTTTTTGAAATTTTTTCTACACCGTAAGATATAATCATACGCAGAGTCAAATTAAGGAGGTACCTCATCAGTATCAGTGCAATTTTAGTGTGAGTCTGACAATGAATACGAAGACGAAGAGAAAAATTCCATGAAAAAGAGTGATTTCGAGCAACAAAATCCTCTCCAAAGAACTTCAGTTATTGAGGAGCTAAAGAATTCGTGTATAAATTCACTCCAAGCAAGCAGCGAACACGTAGAATATAAGATATTCATCTCGATCCCATTTGAACTTGACAAAGAAAAACCAAATATCTCAATTATTTTCTGAATCAAAGATTCTAAACCAAAGGTGCAATTACAGAGAATTAACTTTCTTGAGATGTTAATCCAAAAGTCAAAGTTAGCGGCGCCACTCAAAAACCATTTCACGATGAAAAAGCGAAATAATGAGTGCAAAAAAGCTTCCAGTAACAGTGAGCAAATTTTTTATTTCTAAAATTTATTCGATCCAACTATATCGCAGCAGGCAGAAAAGAGACCACTATACTCATCAGGCGCATAAAATTCCCCTCTACAATAACTTGAAATTGCAGATTGATAAATTATCTCTCAAGACTCCAATGCTCATCAGCATTTATTAAGAGTAAATTGTAACAATGGCGTTTCGGTTGATGCTAACTTTCACTGGATCAAATACTGCAGCACATCTTTATAATTATTCAGATGATGTTAAAGGTACCCTTTAGATAAGATAACCAAAGGGGTCACTACATTTTTTATACTAAAATTGTGTATAATTATTCTAATTGTGTTATAACTAGACAATCTTGGAAACTTAACCCCTTATCAAATTCCTTATTATATGCTCTCAAACCATTCGCAAATTCTACTAGATTTTCGACAATTATGGCAAATGAGCCCGCCTTCATCACATTTCACCTTTCTTCTCTTACATGTGAGACAGCCAGTTCTGCTTCTCGTAGAAAGTTTCCTTCTCTTTCGTATGACTTTCGGATTGGTTACGACATCAGGCTGTCTTACTGGAATCACGCCATGCGATAGTTGATTATTCAATTCGAAAGTATTCAGCAAATCAACGAGAAGTAGCTGATATCTGCCAATATAATGTATTGCAGATCTACCCTGACCATTTTGCAATGACATGTTAAAAAGTGGTGCACCTTGAACCATGTTCCAATAGGTCCCATTTTGGCTTTGATAGAATCCGTTAGTTCCTCCCTGAGACCAGTGAAATTGTTGCTGTTCCATTTGACTGGGGTTCAAAAATATTTGGTAGTTCGATGCATTTATAGTCATTTGATTAGGTGTTGAGAATGAAGGTGCATGTCTATGATGTTGGCATTGAACGGATGCTTGATGATATTGATATTCCAGTATGATATTGGCCACTTGTTTATTATCAGAAGAAGCTTGTCGTGTGTGCGATCGGTTTTCTAATTGTGATTTCAGTTTAGTAGTTCCTTTAGTAGCTTTACTGCTTGAGCTTAAAGGAATTTTGGCTAGAAAACGAGCTTCCTTGCTCACGGAGCCAGATATTTGGTTTGAACTACGAATTAATGTTGGAATTTTATCAGGACTGCTTCTGTCGCTTCCAAAAGCACCAGTAATAAAATCTGAGATTGGAGGAAGCAGCATAATCTTCCAGAAGCTAAGGTTGTAAAATCTTAATGATTTCAAGTCAAACTATTTAGAGACAGTTATGAATTCTTTTCTTCCTCTGAAAAATATTACAGGAATCTTATTTTATACTGAATATGTAACAGGAGGACATTATATCAAAAGAAACTTCTATCTTGCTCTAAAGCATATGCACGAAGCACCCCACCTACTGGGATAAAAATAATGGCCAATAAGAAATGAAAGTTAAAAAAAATGATTCTTTGGTGCTTAGTAACTCGACAGTACTTGCATCTCATCGTTGAGCTCCTCTTCTCTTGCTACTTCAAAAAATAATTTTTTTGTGTACAGTTTAATCATTACACCATATTTTGCACAGAATGCATGCATATCTTTACGCATGCATGTCTTTATGCATAAGGTGAGGACAAGTCCGAAAGAAGTTCGAGAACAGTATCATTTGAAAAATATGCATCTTCATGCAGAATATGCAAACTACCTTTATGTTAGGTTCGTTCATTATTCCCACATTATATTTTTTTTCGCAACAATTTTTCCAATAAATCTGGGAGTACAAAATTGATTGTAAAATATACATAGTTTTAATACACAATAATCCAAAACAAAACTGAAAGTATATTCTTACCTTATTGATGAATGATGCTACGTTGATTGTCTATTTTTTTCTTTAGAGAATTTTTAAACATAATCGGGTTGATATAATATATATATAGATCAACCTAGCTGATCAAAAATTTTCACCAACTGGTGAATGATATGATATATTGCATATTTAGTATGAGATACTTAATCACGAAGAGCTAAAACATCACTTGCATCATTTTAAGGAGTCCTTCTCTTATGTAACTCATGAAATGAAAGTTGAAAATTGTCAGGATTAATGAAATGGGTATGCTTGATCCCTGGGTGAGCTTAATGATGTATCGAAGCAAAATTGATGCTTTTTCACACACGTATAGTATTCTAAATCAGCAAACTTGTTTATATTATATAATATTGGTACTATATAAGAGAAGTTAAATATAAGTAAGAGTGAAAAATACCTTTCATTTCGAAATGAATTGATATTTTTACCGAAAAAATTTTTTTAAGAGAAATCGAATGTAAGCAAGACTTATAATAAAGTAGTGATTATAATTAAGGAACACAAATTTGATAAAACAAAAACAAAAGTATGTGAGACTTAAGACAATCAAAATTGCATAGTCAATCCAATAATCGCCATCATGAAATAATGTAGAGACATTTGTGAAATCGTCGACGCGCTCCCCTCTGCGATCGGTACCACAGAAGGAATTGGAGTTGAAGTCAGAGTAGACGTTTCGCTTTCGACGGTGTACAGAGAACTTGGCTGCGAATCGTAAGAGCCAATGCCGCCAAACAGCGATGTGCTTTCGATATCAGAACTCGAAGTAAATTGATTGATGTTCAGTGGGCTATCAGGCAGAGCACTTGTTAAGCTACTTAAGTCTTTTGAGGTTGAATCGGCTGTCGAGGTAATTGAGCTTGAAACAATGCCTGAAGGAGTTGACCCAGAGGTAGAGCTATCAATTATTGACAATGGTTCTGTACTGGGAGATATAATTGAACTCTCACTGCCTGAGTTATGAACAACGGTTGGCCTGGAGATTATATATGACGCACCTGTCGATGAAGATGCAGTCGAGTTTCTCCAATATGCACTGCTTGGATAGGCATATGAAGAGCTCCATGAACTAGTGTGAGAAATTACTGATTGTGATACAGAGCTAGATGGAACTGCGACAATAACAGTATCAGTACCTCCTGATGAAGCAGTGACAGTAGTAGTTTGAGTGTCAGTACCAGTCCAGGTCGAG